GAGGTTGTGAGGGGAATGGGAAAACATAAGGAGAGAAATGAATTACAGTAGATGGGGTAGAGAGAGAGGAGGGGAGGGGAGGGGAGGGGGGATAGTAGAGGATAGGAAAGGTAGCAGAATACAACAGTTACTATTATGGCATGATGTAAAAATGTGGATGTGTAACCGATGTGATTTCTGCAATCTTTGTAATGTTTTGAATAACCAATAAAAAAAAGGATGGGAAGTTATGGTCTACGAATGTATGTCAAAATGCACTCTACTGTCATCTAAAAAGGACAAATCAAAATACATAGGTTTAGGAAGGGGGGGCATTCAGGGACACGGTGTTTTACTGCCCCGCCCCCTTTTCGAGGATGAGAGTCCTTAATAGAAAATGTGGCTTTGTATAAACCTGTACACGTCCCTGGTGCACTTGATATGGCCTCCCACCTACTGAGTCACACCTACTGCGACGTGGACTGCACTGGGCACCACCGCAGGCTGCACTGCCTGGTTTGTTGCCCAGCGTCCCCCTCGCTGGCCAGCCCCACCTGCGGACAGCCGCCTGTGCACGGGCCAGGGCCTCGCCGCGTCACAGTGGCCCTGTGTCTGCAGCCCTCTTGCTTCTCGGTGGGCCCCGCCRCCTGGCCGGGGGTGGGATGTCCAGCGCAGCTCTGCCGCGGCCCCTCCCGCGCGGCCCCGCTGCATGCTGGGAAGCGGTGCGAGGCCTGGGTGCCATGGAAACGCACACTCTGCAGCGAGGGCAGTTCCGATGTCACGGGGCAGCGTCCCCCAGAGGCCCAAGACAGGAGTGGAACGAGCGTGTTCTCGTGTGTTGCTGGGTGTGTGCGCGCGCACCAGGAGGCCTGGGGGGGCTCCGAGCTCTGCGCATGCGCCTGTCCTGGCCCGGGGTCGCAGGGACCGCCAGCAACATGTTGTGTGGGGGCGTGCAGCCCTGACGCGGAGCTGTGTCCCGGTAACGGTGACGCAGGTGGGCTGTGTGCGTCAGCGGGCTGCGGGGCGCCCAGCAGAGGTTAAGGCACTTGCTCCACCGTGTGGACTGCTGTCCACTGCTGCGCAGGCAGCGGGAGGCGGGAAGCGTCCGTCCGTCCGGAGCCRCCACTCCACTCCGGGAGCCACAGGTGTGTGGGCTGCTGCCGAGCGTCTCCGTGTCCCGAGGTGTGACAGGCCGAGCCGGTGGGTGTGACGCGCCGAGGTACAGTCCGTGGTGGGGTGTAGGTTTGTGAGACCATGTCTGGCACGGCTTTGTGCTTTTGGGGTGGCTTTTCAGCAGATGGCATTTTTGGTGATGACAGATGTGTGATCTTGCCACCTATAGTTTGTTTCCTTCCTGCTTCTACTGAGTAGTACCTACCTGAGAGCAATGGGCCCCAGGGGACAGAGATCAGAGCCTGAATCTCCTTATGAAAATGACCAACCAGGACAAAGCCATGGTCGTGAGATGACAGTTTCAGAGTCCTAAGTGTTCTCCCCACGGGCTACCTGGACGAAAGCAGATGGCCTAAAAGTGCGGGGGTTTTAGGTGATGGGAGATGACCCTGAGCCAGCAGAGCTGCGTCACGTTCCAGAACCTTAGTGTTTGAGCCTGGTGCTCAGGGAACTCAGACATTCGGGACCTAGGGACAGGTGTACCTCGAGTGTGTTTTCTGTGTTAGCCTGTGCAGCAGAAAGACCCTGGTGCCTCATTCTTGTTTTCCTCTCTCCCCAGTCCAGCTAAAGAGAAAGCATCCTCCATTGGAAGACTAATCACACATCSTGAAGTCAAGGTTCAGGTGAGTTACATGTCTTGGTTTTGAATGATTTTTCCCTAGATCTTAACAAGAGACTTAAAGGTGTTGATCAAGAGCATATTGTTCTTGCCTCTGCTTTTTTTTTTTTTAACCAGGGATTAAACCCAGGGACACTTAACCACTGAGTCACATCCTCAGCCCTTTAATTTCGAGACAGGATCTTGCAGAGTTGCTTAGCACRTAGCTTTTGGTGAGGCTGGCTTTGAACTTGCGATCCTCGTGCCTCAGCCTCCCAAGCCACTGGGATTACAGGTGTGTGCTACCACACCCATCTTTTTCCTACCTTTTTTAGCTTTCTGAAAATAGAGTTGTGATGAGGATGAAATTTTTTAATACACTTAAAAACATATTGAGGCCCCCTAAAGCATAAGTGCTCAGGACATGCCAGCTTTAGAGGTTGTGTGGAGAGCCTAGGTGTTCACAGACAGTGAGCCACATCCATGTGAATGTGACTGTATACTAAGAGGTCATACAGTGAACCAGAGCTTCAGACAGCCCAGCACAGGAAGCTCAGCCTGAGGCCCTTCCTTGAGCTCCATCTATAACTTTCCAAAATTGTAAAATGCACTCACACATATACCATGTTTATTATACAGTAGTGTTTGTTATACAGTAATATGTCAGTGTTTTCCCCCTTAAAGAAAAACTGTGATTCCATGGCATTAAGAAAGTGTGTCTTTGGGCCAGGTGCAGTGGCGCATACTATAATCCCAGCAGCTAGGGAGGCTGAGACAGGAGGATCACGAGTTCAAAGACAGCTTCAGCAATGGAAGGCACTTAGCAACTCAGTGAGACCCTGACCCTACTAAAATACAAAATAGGACTGAGGATGTAGCTCAGTGGCCAAGTGCCCCTGAGTTCAATCACTGGCATCAAAAACAGAAAATGTATCTTCAGGCTGGGGTTTTAACTCAGTAGTAGAGTTTTTGCCTGGCACGTGTGAGGCACTGGGTTCAATCCTCAGCACCACATAAAGATAAATAAATAAAATAAAGATATTATGTCCAACTACAACTAAAAAATAATAATAATAAATTAAAAAGTGCACAGTCTGGATGGCTAAAAAAAAAAAAAAAACAGATGTGTGTTTTGCAGTTTTGAGGCTAGAAGGCCAAGATAAGGGTGAAAACCTGGTTGCGTTGGAGTGAGGCCTTCAAATTGCAGACTGCCCTTTCCTACCGTGTCCTCACATGGCATAAAGAGAGCTCAGGGCTTGAGGATCCTTTTTGTAAATGCATTAATGCCATTTATGAGGATCCCACCTTCTTGACATAATCACTTACAAAGGCCCCACTCCTGGTCCTTCACCTTGGGGGACAGGATTTCAATTTAGGCATTTTGATTGGACACAGCATTCAGTCAGCAGGGAGTCTGCAGAGGCAACTTGGCTACATTATTTGCTCAGGGTCTGATTTGTGTTCCAAAGACAGGGAAAAGATAATCCAGGACAGGAAGGTGATAATGATTTTAGCAACACCCTTTTTGCAATATTAGGCCTTATATCGAATTTCTTTGTTGCTGTAAAAAATTACCATAGATTTACTGGTAACAGAGCCCTAGTGGTCACACATCTGAAATCAGCCTCCCTGAGCTGAGACCAAGGTGTTGGCAGAGCTCTGGTCATGTTCCTAGTAAGGGTTCCTGCAGCTGCTGGCCCTGTGTGGCTTCTGACCCTTCTTTTACCAACAAAGACAAGTCCTTCCTGTCACCTCATTCTGACCCTGCTTCTGCCATCACATCTTTCTCTTCTTAACCCCCCCCCTTTGCTTATGGATCCTTTCGGTTACATTGGGCTCACTGAGAYAATTCTGGATAATCATCCCTATTTTAAAGTTCAAAGGCTAGCAATTGTAAGTCCATCTGCAACTCTAACTTCCCTTTGCCATTAAGGTGACATTCACAGTGCCAGAATTACCATGTGGATATCTTTGAGACAATGATGCCTGACACAGACCTGTCTATTCAGAGTTTGACCAGTGACTCCAGTGTACCTGCTCCCTACCAATGTGACCCTTTTTGTAGGCAAGCTGTGTRAGTGTGAGTGAGTGTGTGTGTGGCTGAGAACTGAACCCAGGGCCTCCCACATGCTAGGCAAGTATTCTACTACTGAGCTACACCCCAAGGCTCCTTTTTATTCTTCATGTTATTTCTTACAATGGAATTAACACTGACCTGCTATAAAATAATTGAGACCCCTAGGGAGCTCATAAAGAAGAAATTTAAATTATACACAATCCTTAGGTACAGTGGCCATGCCTGTAACTCTAGCTACCTGGGAAGCTGAAGCTGGAGAATCACAAGTTCCATCCCAGCCTAGGCAACGTACAAAACCCCATCTAAAAAAAAAAAAAAAATTCTAATTGTACCATTCAGAGAAAACCACTTTTAAAATTTTGGTATGTTCCAGACCTCCCAACAGTCGTTCATAATTAAATTCAGGATTTTAATGTTGTTTTTTTTTTTCACAGAACATCCCAGTATGTGCTGATGAACAATGCTACAATATCACTGGGTACTTTACAAGTAGGGACTGAACAAATTACACCTGCAAGATTCATGAACACAAGTAATAGATGTGGGCAATATAAGTAACATTTCCAGGACARAAGAATAGGGTTGCAGCAATTAAAATGTTCATACATACACATGTAATCTGGGCAGTTGAGGAGGCTGAGGCAGGAGGATCCCAGATTTGAAGGCCAGCTTGAGAAACTTAGCGAGATACCATTTCAAAATAAAAACAGCTAGGATATAGCTCAGTGGTTTGGCACTTGTCTAGCACATATGAGGCCCTGGGATTAATCCCCAGCACCACAAAGGAAACAAACAAAAGTCACACTAGTCTCCCTTGTCACTTTAGAACGCTCAATGCAGCTGTTCACTCGATGCTAATTTCTCAAGCTGTCATCTTCTCAGATCAGTCTCTGAGCTTGATTTTCGATGCAGAATCATGTCTCTGTTCCCCTGGGTGCTGGTGGRGAGGGAGCATGTTTTCTGTAATATATCAGAATTTCCTTTGCTAATTTGATTAAGAGTTTATTCTTGAGATCAGGTTCTGAAAGTTTTTAGTGTTGATTATATAGGCAGCAATTTTGAACAGCACAAACTTCAGCCTAAGAACAAATGGGAAAGGGCAGACTTGACTTTCTTTTATGAAAACATTAAATGGGACCTGGGATATCACTGGCCTACCATGAGCAAGGCCCTGGGTTTAATCCCCAGCACCACAAAAAAAAAAAAAAAGAAAGAAAGAAACCTAAATGGATGTGTAATGTTCTTGACCCTCCATAACAACAGCTACCTTACATCCATCATTATGTATGACTAGGTGTTTGGGTTGATTATCTTCCTYATAATTGAGACGGTTATGGCTTATAATCTTTTTATTCCACACTATGAGTTGGTACTGTCATCCAGGTTTGGATTAGGCATTGTGGTCCTGTAGTGGACTTCAGCCTGGAGACACAACTCATCTTCTGTATGGTTAATTTCAGTCTCCAGATCAGCTGCTTCCGTGTCTCCCAGTCCACCCTGAATCGCCGGTTGCTCTCTCCAGTGTGGTCAGCCCCCACCTGAAACAAAGAAAGGCGTTCCTCTCAGGTATGACAGGTTACCTCACAGAACAGAATCTGGTGGCCGTGGCCATGTGCAGCTGGGCTCTGGGCTCCTGGGGGGCCTGGATTTGTCCAGTACCCCTCCACCTTCCCCAGGGTGTCATGTTCACGTGCATGTTGGGAAGAGAGGGTGAGGAGTGAGGTCACATTAGGTCATTTGGAAACCCAAACTGCAGGTGGTTTTTATGTCTCTTTTTTCATTCCTTTTCTCATTCTCCTTTTTCATTCTGACCCCCCAGATTCTGTGTCTCCAGTGGAAGAAATCCCAAGATGGCCAGTCAAGCCCAGAGGTCTGACGCCATGGCCCACGTAAGAGCGTATTACTTTTCATTCTTGGAGTATGACAGTCAGGCTTGTGGGATCGTTGTGAATTGTCCTGAGCTGCTGACTCCGTCTCCCGTACACTCGGTTTTTTCTCCAGAGAACTGTTGAAGTGATGCAGGAACAAAGCCTCTTGAGGGGTGCTCAGTCCTGTCTGTGGCTTGCTGCCTTAAATATGTTGGTCYCACTTGACCTCAAGAGGAGACAGATTCTCCGCTGATCTTGCTTTCTGGGTGCACAGGAGGGAACTTTCAGATCCGCYGATCTCAGTCTTAGCATGCAGTGAGATGCCGGTCTGGGGGGCTTTCACAGTTGGGCAGAATTGGATGTGGCTATGAGGAGGGCCTGTGGACACAAATCACGTTCCCTCCCCCAGTATTGGRAAGTGAGCCARGGGCCCTCTACCTCTGAGCTACACCCCCAGCCCTATTTTATTTTTGAGACAGGGTCTTGCTGTTGCTAAGGCTGACCTTGAACTTGCAATCATCCTGCCTCAGCCTCCCAAATAGCTGGAATTACAGGCATGAGCCACTGTACCTGAATTAGCTTTTGTCATTACATTGCTCTGTTTAAAGTCGGCTCTGGCAAAAAATTTGAGGCTTGAAAACATTAAAATATGCCAAGCCCTGTCTTCTAAAATAAAAGACCTGATTTAAAAAAAAAAAAAAGGAGAGGCCTGGGTTGTGGCTCAGAGGTGGAGCCCTTGCCTAGCACATGTGAAGCACTGGGTTTGATCCTCAGCATCATAAATAAATAAATAAATAGATAGATAGATAGATGGATAAAATTAAATAAATAAATAAATATTGTGTCCATCTGTAACTAAAAATATTCCCCAAAAAGTGGGGGGGGGGGGGATACTGTGGGAACCCACACTGGTCGGGCATTTACCAGACTCTGGCAGGCTCTGCTGTGAATTCAAGGACAGCTGGGACTGCCTTGTCTGCTCCTCCTGGGCAGGTGCARGTCAGGGTGTGGGCTGCTTCCCGTGCCTCAGCAGGGCTCAGTGTGGGGGCACACAGGGTCCTGCCCCCAGGCACTGGTGCCTCAGCCTTCCTGTGACCCACCCCAGGGAAGCCACTGTCTCTTCTCTCATCCTGAAGCCCTTTCTGTCTCTCRTCCTGTTTGCAGGGTTCGGTGACATTTTCAGATGTGGCCATAGACTTCTCTCAGGAGGAGTGGGCCTGTCTGACCTCTGCCCAGAGGGACCTGTACTGGGATGTCATGCTGGAGAACTACAGCAACCTGGTCTCACTGAGTAAGTCGTCGCCTCCCTGTCCTGGACTCTGCTGCCTGGAATGTCTGATTTTCAGGAACACCTTTCARGAGACTCGCCAAATGTCTGCCTCTGCTCCCAAGGGAACGTTCTGAGTTTCGCAGTATGGAAGAGCACATTACACACTTCATCTTCCCATCTGCCACTTATCTTCCCACCTTTGTCTGGCCTCCTGTGTRTCTCTCTGCCTTAGTCACCACGGGGTGAATTGGAATTCTGGGGTATTTATTCCATGGCCATCTTCAAAGAAATGAAGCTTTACCTTAGGCTACCATGTTAATTGCTCTTAATGGTCTTTGGTACTTTGAGGATCTACCTCAGACCCAAGGTTATTTGGGTTTTTGGGGGGTAGTTATTGGGGATTAAACCCAGGAGCACTTAACCACTGAGCCACTCCCCAGCCCTTTTTTATTTTTTATTTAGAGACAGGGTCTCACTGAATTGCTTAGGACCTCGCTAAGTTGCTGACAGTGACTTTGAACTCACGATCCTCCTGCCTCAGCCTCCTGAGTCGCTGGGATTATAGGCACACACCCCACACATGGCTCCAGGGTGATATTTTGATACATGTACGTGGTAATAGTGATCAGATCAAGATAATTAGCACATCCATCACCTGAAACATTTATCCTTTGCTTGTAGCCAAAGCATGTAAGTCCTCTGTTCTGTGTCTACTTTGGCATATACAATAAGTCAYGATTAACGATAGTTCCCCTATAGTGGTGTGGAGCACTAGAACACACTCCTTGTCCAACGGCAATCTTGTGCCCCTTTGCCAACCTCACCCACCTCCCTCCACCCCCGCCACCTCTGGTACCCACTGCCTCCTGGAGCTTCCACGTGAGAGAGAACGTGTGRCATTGGTTTTTCTGTGCCTGGCTCATCTTAGGCTCCTCCGTGTTGCCCAAAGGTTAGAAGCTTATTCTTTTTTATGGCTGAGTATAAAAGCACAGCTCTCCAACCACATGTTTGTGTTGTTTCACAGTCGTTCTGCGGCGTTTGATTTTCTTGGATTCTCTAGGAATGCCATCACATCATCCACAGAGTATTCTTGTTTCATCTTCACTTTTGAGATTTTTCCCTCTAACTCCTTTTACTGAAATGTGTCAGCTGACAGGAAACGACGGGGCTTGGCCACCAACAAGCTCTTCCTGTTTGGTGTTAGTGGCAATGGCTCCAGTGCTTCCCCTTTGACTGTTGAGGTGCCAGGAGTAGAATCTGCATCACCGGGAGCTCTGGGGGACCCTTGTTTGTTCTACTGAAGGCCTTTAGTTTTTGGCTTGGGGTTAGGTTTGATTTTGTTTTCCTGTAAAGAAAATATGTTGTTTTTCTTTCAGATTTGGAATCATCCTATGAGGCTAAGAGCTTAGCTATACAGAAGAGTATTTACAAAATGAGTCTTCACAAAAGGAATTCAGGTAGCAAGAGTCAGTCTCATCCCCTGACCAGGATGCCTGAAGGTGAGTCTGAAGTCCCACAGGGCTCTCAAGAGAGACATCGCAGTCGAGTAAAAGTCAACTCGAGAAAGGCGCCTGCCAGCAGAGACCGCACCCCTCCGCGACCCCACGCCCGGCCGCACGGCAAGGAGAGCTCCTACGAGTGTAAGGAGTGCGGCAAGGCCTTCAGCCGCGGCTACCAACTCAGTCAGCACCAGAAGATCCACACGGGCGAGAAGCCCTACGAGTGCAAGGAGTGTAAGAAGGCCTTCCGCTGGGGTAACCAGCTCACTCAGCACCAGAAGATCCACACCGGGGAGAAGCCCTACGAGTGCAAGGACTGCGGCAAGGCCTTCCGCTGGGGCTCCAGCCTCGTCATCCACAGGAGGATCCACACCGGGGAGAAGCCCTACAAGTGCAAGGACTGCGGCAAGGCCTTCAGGCGCGGCGATGAGCTCACTCAGCACCAGCGGTTTCACACCGGGGAGAAAGACTACGAGTGCAAAGACTGTGGGAAGACCTTCAGCCGTCTGTACAAGCTCATCCAGCACAAGAGGATCCACAGCGGGGAGAAGCCCTACGAGTGCAAGGACTGCGGCAAGGCCTTCATCTGCGGCTCCAGCCTCATCCAGCATAAGAGGATCCACACTGGCGAGAAGCCCTATGAATGCCAAGAGTGTGGGAAGGCCTTCACGCGGGTCAACTACCTCACCCAGCACCAGAAGATCCACACTGGGGAGAAGCCTCACGAGTGCCGGGAGTGTGGGAAGGCCTTCCGCTGGGGCTCGAGTCTGGTGAAGCACGAGAGAATCCACACGGGTGAGAAGCCCTACAAGTGCACCGAGTGCGGGAAGGCCTTCAACTGCGGCTACCACCTCACTCAGCATGAGAGAATCCACACCGGGGAGACGCCTTACAAATGTAAGGAGTGTGGGAAGGCCTTCATTTATGGGTCAAGCCTTGTCAAACACGAGCGAATTCATACAGGAGAGAAACCCTATAAGTGTATGGAGTGTGGGAAGGCCTTTAGTCACGGCCATCAGCTCACACAGCATCAGAAAACACATATTGCAAAGTCGTACACGTGTAAGGATTGTGGAAAGGTATTCAACCATGCGAACCATCTTAGAGAGCATCAGAAGACACATAACAGCTGAAACCTGCCAACACACAYGACACACCAAGGCCTCCCTCCTGCATTCACTCCTTCCTCAACATGAGGGAAACCCATGATTTAATTTAACATAAGAAAGCCTTCACTGGTCATCCTTCTAATTACAGAACATCACAAGTCACACTAGAGGCCAACTTGGAGAGTTGGAGAAGTCACTTTTCTTAATGAGTATGACATGCTCAGTCATTTTTACTGGACAGGTTGGCTGAGCAAATGCACAGAGCTTGCCAATACCATTCCATCTTTTTTATGTTTGAGGTTCATTCTAGGAACAACTCTGCTGATGTAACGTGAGGAGGCCGTCAGCCATGACCCGTCCCCTGCCAGTTATCACCATCCACCTCTACCCCCAGTGAGACACACAGCACTCTGCTCATCGCCTGTGCATTACAGATGCTCCTTGGCACACAGTAGGGTCATATCCCAACAAACCCACCCTACTTGAAAAGACATTCACAACTGCATTTAATACACCTGACTCAACAAACGTTGTAGGTCAGCCCAGCCTACCTGAAATGTGCCCAGAACACTCCCATTAGCCTAAGTTGGGCAAAATCATCTAACACCAAGGGTATTCAATAATAGTGGTGAATGTCTCATCTAACTTATTAAATATTATATAGAAAGTGAAAATCAGTGGTTCTCTTGGGCACACTTCCCACCATTGGGAAGCTCTAAAATAGTGATTCTTTTGGGCACACTTTCTACCACTGGTAAGTTCTAAAATCAGTGGTTCTCTTGGGCACACTTCCCACCATTGGGAAGCTCTAAAATCAGTGGCCGTATTGGGTAGCTTTCCGCCATTGTGAAGTTCTCAATCAGTGGTTCTATTGGGTAGCTTTCTGCCATCGTGAAGTTCTAAATCAGTGGCCATATTGGGTAGCTTTCCGCCATCAGGAAGTTCTCAATCAGTGGTTCTATTGGGTAGCTTTCCGCCATCGTGAAGTTCTAAATCAGTGGTTCTACTGGGTACGCTTTCCACCATCGTGAAGTTCTAAATCAGTGGTTCTATTGGGTACGCTTTCCGCCATCGTGAAGTTCTAAATCAGTGGTTCTACTGGGTACGCTTTCCGCCATCGTGAAGTTCTAAATCAGTGGTTCTACTGGGTAGCTTTCCGCCATCGTGAAGTTCTAAATCAGTGGTTCTACTGGGTACGCTTTCCGCCATCGTGAAGTTCTAAATCATGGCTCTACTGGGTAGCTTTCCGCCATCGTGAAGTTCTAAATCAGTGGTTCTACTGGGTAGCTTTCCGCCATCGTGAAGTTCTAAATCAGTGGTTCTACTGGGTAGCTTTCTGCCATCTTGAAATTCTAAATCAGTGGTTCTACTGGGTACGCTTTCCGCCATCGTGAAGTTCTAAATCATGGCTCTACTGGGTACGCTTTCTGCCATCGTGAAGTTCTAAATCAGTGGCTCTATTGGATACTCTTTCACACCATTGTGAAGTTGAAAAACCTTGGCTGTTTTGGGTACACTTCTTGCACATTATGTTAAAAAGATGAAAGTTGAAATATCTGTATATCCAGACCGTCTATATTTGTAGAATGTATGTTACGTGCATTGTTTGTACACAGGGATAATCACACCTACCTAAAACTGCTATGTGGAAATTAAATGTTTGGTACTTGTAAACTCTCTGAAAATGTATCTGGGGTATTGTTTCARATCAGTATTTATCACCTATTGTTCTTGTGATCATCACCATTAGTGTTCTTAGTGAGTTATCAAGACCACCTGGAGTGCAGTGAGTTTAGAAGAGATAATCGAACATCTAGGTTTCAGAGAGCACAGAAGATGACTGTCACATCTTGGGCTGGACAGTCATGTCRGTGCACAGAAGGCATGGACATAAAAGGTTAAGTGCAAGGCCTGTGAAATGATGCCGCAAGATGGAGAAAGGGCAAGCAGATGCTCACTCTGCATGCACCTACGAGGGACTCAGAAAACAGACCAGCTAAGAGGGGAAGAGTAAGCACTTCACCGAGAAGGCTCAGCCCCGGGGAAGCACATGGAAACAAGCTCAGCATTGTGGCTCTCCAAGTACAGTGCCAGTGAAGACGGGGGCGCCGGATGGCACAGGTCAAAGTCACAGCAGCTGAGACTGTACTTCAGGTGTCTTACCACGAAGGACAAGTGAGGTGAGGACGTGTGTGATTCAGTCATTCCACATTGTATACACGTATCAAAACATCCCTTTGTACTCTGTAAATGTATACAGTAAAAAGTGTAATTCAATTATTTGTCAAAAAATACTAATAAAGAAATTTTTAAAGGCACATTTGAGCTGGACTCTTGGGGAGGAGCTAGGGCTGCCCATAGCCTTGCAGAGGAGGCAGGCAAGTGGCTGTCCTGGGGAAGGAGCCAGGCCAGCTCTCCCGGGAGGCCTGAGAGAGCAGTCAGTCTCAGAAGGGACCTGAGCCACCCACCGCAAGCTCCTGAAGTGAGGTACAGGTTGTCTCTGGGGAAAGCCAAGCACCGAGCAGGAGCTGAGACTGTGAGGGCTTGTGTACGGGGCATTGGGGTCGGAGAGAGGAGAGCGAGCCTGGGCCATGGGGACCAACTACCAGAGCTCAGGGCCAGGTTCTGGGAGAGTGATGAGGGCGGGCTGGGGGTGGGGCTCAGAAGCTGGGAGGGGGCCTGGGAGGTGCCGGGGAGCTGCCCCAGCCGGTGGAAGACCCTTCGGCACAGGGCAGACAGCCGTGTCTGGGCCCTGGGGTGTCCTGTGGAGGTGGGCAAAGGCTCCAGAGCAAGATCAGAGCAGGGCTTACGTTTGACTCTTCTCAGGGTTGGGGCTGCATGTCAGCTAGAGCTACTTAGTGCTCACTGTTTGGCTAAGTGACAGGTTGAGTCCTTGAGGGAGCATGTTCGGGTAAGGGTCAGACCCAGGCCTCAAGGCAGTTCCTTTCTGGACCATGTGCCACACCAGACAGCCTCGTAGAGGCCACCATCCTTCCTAGTACCCCCTTCTCTATGGACTCTAAGCCAGCCACAGCAGAATGGACCCAGGGGCCCCTCTTTGCCACCCAGAGCTACATTAATGGGTGGGTACTGCCCTTCCTGCCAATTCTATATAAACAGGGGGGGGGCAGTGAGGAGGGCAAGGGGACACGTGTGACGTGAGGAGGGGCTGGAAGTCAGTGGAAGGGGTGTGCTCCACGCTGGAGCAGAAACAGGACTGTGAGGCTCCCGAGCAGAAAGGCAGTCTGAGCGCCTCCTGGGTGACTGACAGGAGGTGGCGCCGGGCACCACGGTGGCAAGGCAGTCGGATCGCACATTCCAGGCCATTGGGGGCAGCTTTGTGAGATCCTGTCTTAAGCTGAGAAAGGGCTGGCGGACCCTTGTACATGAGAGGCACCTCCACCATGCTGTGTGCCCGCGGTTCTCCTGAACTCACTCTGCCGGCTCACTGGATCCAGCCCCTCGGCACCACGCTCTCTGCTGCTTCCCCACCCAGTGCCTGCTGGGCTCTGGGTCCTGCCACCGCACGACACCCCTGCCCCTCTCTGCTTCTGAGTGCAGCTCCTGTAGGTCCCTCATTGGGAACATAGGATAATTGTCTTCCTGTGCCTGTCCTCCAAGTTCATCCGCCTTATGGCAAATGCCCATGTACTGTATATGCAAAGACCCCTAAGGGGAGTTTGATGTTTCTCACAAGCCGGGAGCAGTGGCAGCACACGCCCACCCGTACCCAGCCACGAGGGAGCCTGAGGGAGGCTGAGGCAGGAGAGGGAGGTCATCCTCAGCAATTTAGCCAGGCCCTCAGCAATGTAGCCAGACTGTCTCAAAATAAAGGGGCTGGGAGTGTGGCTCARAGATAAAGCACCCTAGGTTCAATCCCCCACGTTTTCACCCCCCAAAAAATAAGTGCCTGAGGGAATGAATATGTCCCCTCCCGGTTTAGCCATTCCCAGTCCATAGATGTCAAGACATGAGTCATGCATGTACAAAAATTTTTGTCAACTAAAAGAATAAACAAGACCGGGTACAGTGACCCACACCTGGAATCCCAGCGGCTCAGATGACAGAGGCAGGAGGATCACGAGTTCAAAGCCAGCCTCAGCAATTTAGCGAGGTGCTAAGCAACTCAATGAGACCCTGTCTATAATAAAATACAAAACAGGGTTGCGATGTGGCTCAGTGGTCAAGTGCCCGAGTTCAATCCCTGGTACCCCCCCCAAAAATAAAAAACTTTTCAAGGGGCTGGGTTTGTGGCTCAGTGGTACAGCATTCACCTAGCAACGTGCGAGGCCCTGGTTCAATCCTCAGCACCACATATAAATTAAAAAAAAAAATAAAAGTATTGTGTCCAACTACAACTAAAAAATAAATATTAAAAAAAAAAAAAAAAAACCACTTTCCAAGGCATTCTGCTCCCTGGTGCTGGAGGGCTCTGAACACGCCCAGCCTTCACAGTCCAGCAGGTCCGGCCGTCCTGGTCCAGGGGGCGCCTGCAGGGCCCCAGAGCTGCTCTTCTCTGAGCTCGAATGGACTCAGCATTAGAGGTGTTTTCAGGGAGATCTGGGGAGCTGAGGCCGGTGGCTGTTGCTCCTTCTTCTCCAGGCTGTGCCAGATCCCAAATCAAAAACAGAGCCAATCCTAGTGGGGAAGTGGGACAGCCAGGTGGGAGGCAGTCACTGCTTTAGCCTCAAGGGTTTCCACGTCAGGCTGGATATTGGTCCGGGGGAAGCTATAGAGAACTGTGGAGCCCTCTTCCCCCAGAAGACCCCTCACCGATCGCCATCCAGACCCCAAATCACAGCCAGGTCCCACAATGATACCCAGGGGAGGACGGGCAGCACAGGGAACTGTGGACCAAGCCATGTCCCCAAGCACACCAGCCATCTGAGAGCTCCCGTCCCCCTCAGGGTGGGAGGACCAGCATGCCAGGGACCCCATGGGGCACTCCAGAAGAGACGGGATAGGGACGGATTAGCACTGAGTGCCAGAGACAGGGCGGGGACAGTGAACGACTGCTGGTTTCTGCGCCCGCTCCCTTCATGTTCTCCCAGGTCTGTGCTCCAGGATGCGTAGTCTAGGGACAGCAGGTTTCCTACCTTGAAGTGAAGAGGGGTGCTGCTCTGGGGCTGTCTCCAGATGGCCAGTACCACCCCAACAATAAGCAGCAGCACAGCCACTGTCACGGAATCAGAGTCTACAGAGAACAGGCGCTGGGGCCCCAGGGGCCAGGATCAGGCACAGGATGGTAAGCAGGGGGACTGAAAGGGACACTGGGGAGGACGGGTCCAGTTCCAGAGCCGAGTAAAAAAGGCCCCTGTCCACATCCCCACAAACCCAACCCCACCCTCAGCTTCAGAACCCAGAAGTGATCCTGCAGCTCACCAAGCAAGGAGGCACATCAGAGACCAGCTGGCCAGATTTCAGAGGCGGGTGGCAGTGGAGGGGACACACAGGCTCCTGAGCTGCTTCTGTCCAGGGTTCACCACAAGCATGTCCACCTCTATTTTCCTCATTCTTGCAGGAACTTGAGTTCTCTTCTGGCTGCACCTGGATGAGAGGTGAGCGGGCGAGACTGCAGCCACCCCACACATCCACCATCAGGCAGCCAGGCTCAGCAAGCTTGTCAGGGCTGAGGGAGTCTCACCTGAGGACCAGGACAGAGAGGCCACCAGGGAGTAGGCCAGCAGGGACCCAAGGGACGTGGGGAAGGCCATGGATGCTAGAATTAGGGCACCAGAAGGGTGAGGCGGGAAGGGGGACAAGGTGAAACTGGCTGGGGAAACATCCCAGTTCAGGAAGTCCCTCAGGGAAGGCTCGGGCTGTCTCACCTGTGAGGATTCCAGAATGAGAGTGGCCAGGGCGCCATGCGTGACCTGGCATGAGTCTCAGGAAGAGCAGCCCATCCTCCGCCATGGCACAGGTCACCCAAGGCTCAGGGAACACGGACCCCAGGAGACTGGAGGAGGAAAGGGACCAGCTCAGGGCATGGAGCTGTGGAAACAGGGCTTCCGCCTTGACTTGTGCTGAGCGGCAGGTCCCTCCCTCCGTCTCAGTCCTGAGGGCTGGGAACCCTAAGAACCCGACAGCAGATGGGAAAAGCTCTTGGCACCCACCTGAAGGAAAGGGCACACAGGGTGCCCATGGCCATGGCTTACCGGGCAGGAGCCCACCCCACGTGCACAAAGCCTCGGTCGGGCTCTGGGCATGGAACTGGTACCAAGGGGAGGGCGGCAGCCCAGGGACCTACTGGTAGTAGGGCGTCCTGGGAGTGAGCGCGGAGGAGACGCCAGAGCATGTCACACAGCGGAGCTGAGGGTGGCGGGCCTCCTCCCCTGCAGGGGACACACACAGAGGGGCACAGGGCCCTCTCCCCCCACCCCGCACACTCCCCAAAGCAGGCGGGCTCCACCAGCTCTAAGCCAAAGGGCAGCCCGATCTATGTCGCGGCGGCCTCGGGAGGGACGGCCACAGCACCTATAGTGGCCATGCTGTCAAAACCAATAAATGCATCGAAGCAGGTGGCCGCTCCGGGGAGAGTCCCATCCAGGCCGAAAGGCACAAACCTGCCCTGTACGCACACATCCCCTGAGCTCACACCTCCCCTGAGCGCACACCTTCCCGTGCGCAGACGTTCCCTGTGCGCACACCTCCCCTGTGCGCAGACGTTCCCTGTGCACAGGCCTCCCCTGTGCACACACCTCCCCTGTGCACACATCTCCCCTGAGCGCACTCCTCCCCTGAGCGCACTCCTCCCCTGTGCGCACACCTCCCCTGTGTGCAGACGTTCCCTGTGCGCTGCGGGTTTGCAGCTCTCCCTTGATGAAGCTCAGCCAGAGTTTCCGCCTGTGAACAGCCCGCTGACCAGGACCGACTCTCAAGCTCCCGGGGCCAAGGGTCCTGTGGGGAGGAACAGCCGGAGAGTTCAGAAAAAAGGACCCAAAGGCCTGGTAAGGGCAGGCAGGTGGGGAGGGTGAGTCGCCCACAAGGCACAGTTGGGTGGGAGGAATGGCTTCTGCTCTTCCCTGGCCCAGGAGGGAAACTGGTGGACAACCACCAACTGTATGTCAGAATTGCTAAGAAAGAAGATCCATTTATTCACTGGTACTGGGGGTTGAGCCCAGGGATGCCTTACTACCAAGCTACATGCCAGTTCTGCTTGTTTGTTTTTTTGACATAGGGCCTCCCTAAGTTGCCCAGGCTGGCCTCAAACTTGTGACCCTCCTGCCTCAG